ATGTAGCAAACTCAATCAATAGAACCGTCCAATACAAAAGTACAATATACATGTACATGTATTTATTATTATATATTGTCCATTCCTTTATTATAGGGTATATCTTAATGTGTGTTTCTCTTATGCATCAAGATATGAGATTACTGATACTATACAGTCACTGGTTGATGGATCTCAAGATGGTACTATACTACCAACGTAAGTATATGTACATACATGCATCATAGTACCACTTACACATACAATGTACACATACATGTATGCTGTATAACTGTGTACATGTACTCTTTCTACTCTGCTGTGTCCGGACATGTGTATGTTTAGTATCATTGGGATTTGTCATTGATTTGTTTGTACATGTTCAATAAGTCCATCTACTAACAATTAATGTACATAATTATACATGTACATGTATGCTGTATGTATGGGATGTACTCACTTTGTTAGGTTGATTTTCATTATTTTGTATAATGTGTGTCCTGTAGTAGCTGTTTGACATTTGGCTTTAAATTGTTATGATATGATTATTGTCTTTTATTATAGTGTGACTGGTTGACTGGTTGTATGAGTGTATGCTTGTATGTGAATCCAGTGGACAGTACATGTACATTCAATATTATACTACGTTTGTACTTCTATTATACATACATTATACAAGCACATGTAATTACACTATAGAGATATCAGTAAAGACTTAATGAATAGATGTCTTTATACTGGTACATGTACACCACCTGATCCTGTCATTAGAACATCAGGAGAAGTGAGATTAAGTGACTTCCTTATATGGCAGGTAATCTTTAATTAATTAATTAATATATTTATTATTATTAATAGAGCTCTTATTCTTGTCTTTGTTTTCAAGATGTGTTGTAGCTGGAGATTTCCATTTGGAATTTATTCTCTTCGATATAAACATACCAACAGAATTACAATAATATAAAGGTTTGTTAGTAATTAATTGAATCCTATAGCTGCCTGTAAAATGTACTGGTTTGTCAAAACACTACTAGTAGATTTTCAGAAAGTGGAAGGGACGGATAAAGTAGTGAAGCTTGTACAATGGTAGGTGTTTGTGTAAACTACCTTCAAAGAGATGATTTTGAATGAGAAAGCAAGGACTCAGCTACATGTAGCTTGTTGTTTACTGATGGCCAGTGATAAGCTGTATTTTAGTAGTTTAGCATAATGTACTTTTGGAATTGTACACATTCACTAATTTCACTTACCAGGTAGCAAGAGAGTACATGCACATTGAGAGGAATGACAAGCAGTATAAATCAGACAGAGACTGTGCATTAGTACAATATTATGAAGAAAGAAAAGGAGGAGGAGGAGAAGGTGAACTATCAGATGCAGTATTAGAAGAACTCGTAGTCATTATGCTGCTGAGAGAAAGAAAAGAACTCAACTATTTGTACAATCATTGATCAAGAAGAAAATATCTTTCTGGAAACAGTAACTGAATAATAGTTGTCATTATGATTATATTGTAAATGATTATCAGCTTTATAATGTGAGAGTCAACATGGTCAAGTTATGAGAGATGAGATGATCAAGGCTCCATTTTGATTTGAGTGTTTTTGTTGCTATGAGTGACTCCATGCATGCTGTAATAGATTATGTTGCACACCAAAATAATGCTATATACAAATGACAAAATGTCATACATTGAGCTCAAAACAGATAATAATAAATATTGTTAACATTAATTGTATGTTAAAGACATAAAACAGATAGTTCATTGTTATAGTTATACTCTCTTGTTCAGCTAGAAACAAATATTCTTCTTGTAATGGTACACTCACAGAAGATGTTGCAGTTATCGTAAGTGCTGGAGGAGTAGAAGATATATTACTAGCAAATACAAGGACTAAATTGACTGTATAATAAATATTGTTAACATTAATTGTATGTTAAAGACATAAAACAGATAGTTCATTGTTATAGTTACTCTCTTGTTCAGCTACAAAAAAAATTCTTGTAATGGTACACTCACAGAAGATGTTGCAGTTATCGTAAGTGCTGGAGGAGTAGAAGATATATTACTAGCAAATACAAGGACTAAATTGACTGTATAATAAATATTGTTAACATTAATTGTATGTTAAAGACATAAAACAGATGGTTCATTGTTATAGTTACTCTCTTGTTCAGCTACAAAAAAAATTCTTCTTGTAATGGTACTCACAGAAGATGTTGCAGTTATCGTAAGTGCTGGAGGAGTAGAAGATATATTACTAGCAAATACAAGGACTAAATTGACTGTATGTACTGCTTTAGTTGGCCTGTTATTGTTCTAAATTTCACTAAAACTGAAAAGGTGACAATTTTCCTTTTGTGTAGATTTCCTGATACATATACATGTTCTTATATGTTGCATAAAAGTCTGATGAAAAATTGGATTTTTTAATGAATTTTTAAAGAGCTCCAAAATCAGACAAAATTTCCTGTACCATATAGTACATGCATATGGACTTTGGTCAAATTTCATTAGGAGAGACTTCTCCATTTTTATTAGATTCCCCAAGACATGTCATGTCATTTTTATTATTGTCATGTACTTTGTTTCTTTCCCAGCTAGCAGCCAGTTATTTTAGGAAATGGATGATTGTTGCCATGATGACCAGAAAGATCCATGCTGCTCTCTCTAACAAAGAATGACCAATCGGACGCCTCCTGTCTTTGTGTTGTCACGGTAACAGAAAACATGCACCATTAAAGAACGTCAACTTCCTTTGAAAGGTTACCCCAAATATGTCAAATGAAGTATACAAGAAATTCCTAAGTGGTAGAATCAAGAGTACTAGTATAATAGGAACCAATTGTATGAATAATTAATCAATAACCTCCTTTAAAAACCTTTTCAAAAGCAGTCAAAGGTTTCCTTCTCAATCAACTAGGAAGAACCCAACACTTTTGTGTTCTGATTAAAAGTCATAACAAGATTTCAAGTCAGTGCTGCCATGGAGGTTGCATGGAATCTTGAAAATGAGTATCTAAACAACTAATAAATCTATAAGTGAAATTAGTGAATGGCTGGAGGGGGAGAGGGCATGGAATCCAAATGTATAATCAAAACGATAATTATTTAAGTCGGCGTATGTAAGTATAAACAGGAACGACAGGTTTTTCAGTGGATTTAAGCCTAATCGCCATTTTCAACTTGATACTCATCCAAAATGAGACTGACGACGACAGCTATGAAGTATATGTAACTCAGGCCTTGTCAATGTTGTTGAAGGAGGCGATTGTCACATAGTAGACCAGGAGAAGAGAAGTATAGTCCAGTACTGAGGCTGTGATGCCACATCAAATAGTCTCGCCGCCCAGACCATTCCCCAGCCTACAATGACTGTAGGCTGGGGAATGGTCTGGGCGGCGAGACTAACATCAAAAGCAGTATGAATCCCGGCAGTGCGGCTCATCACCACTGAGTATTCCTGTCAACCGGGACCTCTCTTAGCTGATACTCTTCAAGTTTCCTCTTCTTTAACTCCTGCCAGCACCACCGGTCAAGGCTAGTGCCATGCTAAATGATAAGAGCTGCAACGCGTTTAGAACTTTCACCCTCACAACTGGCCGCCATTTTATTACAAATTGTTAAATTAAAAATTAATGACTCTTAATGAGTAGGCAGTAGTAGATTAGATTAGTATTCCGACATAAAACTAAAAAAATACGGGACAATTCCAACATGCCACGTGTCTGCCACTGTCTGGTCACTCTGGTGTGCGATGGTCTACACTGAAGCATTGAGGTTTTTTTTATGCTCCTTGCATCTCCTTCTTCTTCTTCTTCTTCTTCATCTCCTTCTTCATCTCCTTCTAAACCTTCACCTGATGATACTCTATCCTTTGGTTCTAGTGAAGAAGGTAAGACAAGGCCTTAGCTCAGGTTGCTGGGCTTTTTTGGCTTGCCATGTGCTCCGACCCTGCCCACTTTGTATTGTTCCTTTGTCCTTCTATTTTAGGTTTTCCTGTACTCTGTTCTTCTTTTGCTGGGAGGACCCGAAATGACAATGGCTTTGTGAAACAGGGTCTCTTACAATGGTATGTTTATGACGAATTAATCAGTGGGAAGTGTGCTTAATGCCATGTTGTCTAATGATAATAGAGGGTATGCGTGCTAAGTATATTCATTGCAAAATAAATGGGGTCACTTACACTTTACCAGCCCCAGGTAGATCAGCCATTTTAAGGCTATGACATCACATAAATGGACGCCCCACAATAGCCTGAGCTAAAAGGATGCTATATAAGGCAAGGCTTGTATGGTGGGGTGGTGTGTGGTGGCTGCCCCATTTTAATGACATGAATGAATTTAATAAGAAATATTTTAAAAAGAAAATATGTTTGTAAGTGAAAACTGTAAAAAAGAGATAAATATTGCAGTAGCAATTAGGGGAAGGTAATTTGTTTCCGAGCACCTAAAAAACTAAATCCTAACCCCTAAACCCTCACAGCCTATTTGAGTTTTTATGCATTTTATGAAAATTTGTATAATATAGAATGAGATCTTGTGAAAAAAGAAGTGTCCTTTGCCAGCCTCATCCTCCCATTACCGCACTTAGGACAGTCATGATTAGTAAAGTCTCCTAGCACCCCTTTCCTTCACAGCCATTTGCATATCTCTTCTTTTGGCTTGCTGCATATAGCATAAATGTAATCTAGTACAATTCCAGTGGTTAGAATGGAAATGGTCGCCATTTTGCCTTTGGATCATGTGATGTATGTTTTGCATGTGGTGCTTATGACATATGTGACGTAAAATGGCAAATTTGCTTGGGGCCGGTAAAGTGTAATGTACCCAATAAATGTATTCATTGCATACCGTAATAACTTTCAAGAAAAAAAATTAGTTTGTTGGACGTCAGCTTTCCATTGGCATCAAGGGAGAAATGATAGAGAAAGGCTTAGTACCAGGAAACCCCTCTGTATTTCTTGATAGCAATTTTTCAGGTGACTACTAGATCTCATTAGATCCTCAGGATGCTTTCTAAGCTTCCGAAAAAAAGCCTCAAGAAGGTAGCAAGGTAAGAAAATGTGTTTTCCCCCATTGAAGTCTTAATGAACTTGACGTCCAAGATGGTGGCCAATTTACTGTGTGGGTTGGATATACAGTACTTAAAAGCTATGAATATACTTAGCATGCATATCCTCTATAACAGT